GGGCTGGCTCTGCTCCCCGGGGCGCACCTTGAGGCTCCGGCGGACCGGCCTCTCGATGATGGTGAGCTCCTGCAGGTCCTCCATGTAGCCGAACAAGCTGTTCTGACTGAAATCCATCGCGGCGGTGGCGGCCGGCAGATGCATGGACCGCCGGGCCCCCTCGCCGCCCGGGCCCAAATGGCCCCGGGATGCCGGACGCGCGCAGCCCCGCAGCCGCCCACCCGCTGCACTTTCTCCCACTCTCCGCCGCGGGAGCCGACGTGAGGGTGAGACGCCCGCCTGAGAAGAGTGGCCGGCCGAGGGGGCGGGGCGCGCGGGAGGGGCGGGGAGAGGGGCGGGGACTCGCTACAGGGCCCGCCTCTTCTCGGGCACTGCGCGCACACAGGCAGCACGCAACTGCTGCGCAACGTCTGGGCCGCCACGCCCCATCCTCTGGCCCCGCCTCTTCCTCGCCACGCCCCCAACCGAATGCGCTGCACCCTGCCGCGCAGGCGCCGAGCTCTGAACCTTGCATATTAGCTGGAGGCGGGCTGGGGGCGGGGAGGAGGCGGGGAGGGGGCGGAGATGAAGGGAGGGAGGAGGAGGCTGAACCCAAGAGAAAAGTGTTAAAAAGAGTTGGGCTTCGTTCACAATCGCAAGGAGTTGGAAACAGCCTAAGTGCCCATCAACAAACGAATGGATAGAGAAGCTCTGGTATAATCACACAGTGGAATACTACGCTGCATTGAAAAACAAGGAACTCATGCAATATTATACAAAATGGGTGACCCTGGAGGACATTATGCTGAGTGAAGTATCTCAGGACAAAAGGACAAATACTGCATAGTGCCACTGTTGTAAAACAGGACTGACCTCGGGGCCGGGGGAAGACTGAGAAAGATGGGTTCAATAATGTATACGGCATTGAAACAGATGAGAGGGATAACTGTTTAAAAGAGATCTATGATTAGGTATTATTGTCATGACAGGAGTCCAGAACGAAGGCTGCGTAGTGGACTGGACTTGAGGTGAGGGCTTGTATAAAAATGAAAGACATTTTCTTTTACTTTTCAAAGAGAAGAGCGAATTGGGGGGAGAGGAGGGTGGGCAGGGAGTTAAGTGCAGCAGTGAATGAATGGAAATCCTCAGTCTCTGTAAACTTTCATTAAAATTAATTTAAAAAATTGAGAGGAGGGGGGAAAGAGATGGGCCAGGCATTCTCTTAAGTGTGGTCCCAATCTTCCTGCAACTAGTGTGGCCTCCCATCACAGCTGGTGTGCTGTGGACAGGGTGACCACCCAGGCACAGCTCTTTCCCAGAGAAACTAGCTAAACCCCTTTCAGTAAAGGAGATTCCTGTCGTCCTTATGTTGTTATGTCCAGCCCAGATGGAGCCTACTCACAGCTGACCCTCCAGCTGACTTTCAGAGGCAGTAAATCACACTCAAGGAAATTGCCTCTATTTCCCCCATGGAGCAGCTGGTGGATTTGAACCGTATGCCTTTGGCTTGGCAACACAACTCTTTACTACAGAGTGAAACCGCCTCAGAGGGTCTCCAAAGCTTTAAATCTTTCTGGAAACAGACAACCTCGTCTTTCTTCTGTGGAGGTTGGTGGGCTCCATCACATTCCTTTTAATTAGCAGCCCAGAGCTTAACCACTGAGCCATCAGGGTGCCTTTTTACCTGAAGGAAGGGCAAATAAGCAGCTAACATGTTTGTGCACCAAAGCGTTGGGTCAAGGTGTGTAGGAGTGTAATTCTGGAGGGGACTCATTTAGGGGAGCGCCACATTCACAAAAGGCTGCTTAGGGACAAACTCTTGGCCTGAATCTTATAAAGATCAGTAAAGGCTAATGGAAAAAATAAAAGAAGTCATTTGGGGCACCAAATTATTAGAGCCTATCTATGTTTGTTTGCTTGGCTCTCTTGGCACCAGTAGCCAGGAAATTAAAAGGCATATTTCGATGGGAAAGTCTGCTGTTAGGGACCTTTCCAAAGCACTGAAGAGCAATGGTGTCTCTCTGGAGACTAAGGTGTGTCTGATACAGGCCATGGTCTTTTCAAGCACTTGTTAGGCATCAGAGAGTTGGACAATGACTAAGGAGGATAGAAGAAGAATTGATGCCTTTGAGCTGTGTTGCTGGAGAAGAGTATTGAGGGTACCATGGACTGCTAGGAAAACAAACAGATTCATCCTAGAAAGGGTTAAACCGGGTGGCTCCTTGGAGGCAAGGATTCTGAGGCTCCATCTAACATACTTCGGACATGTTGTAAGGAGAGACAGGTCCTTAGAGAAGGACATCATGCTAGGGAGAGTAGAGGGACAGCGCAGGAGGGGAAGACCCTCTATGAAGTGGATTGATTCAGTGACTGGGGTAATCGGGATGGGAGTGTCAGAGACAGTGTGATTGGCACAGGACAGAGCAGAGTTTAGGGCTGTTGTACATAGGGTCAATATGAGTCGCAAGCAACTCGACGGCACATAACAACAACAACATCTATGTTTAGGATTCGAGGACACCTGATAACAACAACATATTTAGGACACAGGAAATGCAGGGTGGAATTTGGGATATGGGGGAAGCAGGATGCCTGGCTAAGTGGGTGAAGGATGGAAGAAGTTTTTCAAGCCAAAGGCAGTGGCCTTGAGTTGCTTACACTTCCCAGGAGAATCAGTTCTGTGACCCAGAGGAAGCCTGGAAGAAGTGTTGAGGTTGTAGTGTACTGTCCAGTAGGAACCAACTCATAGCTGACCCTTTAGGGGGTTTTCAGAGGACGTTTACAATCACGCAGGAAGAGATTGCTCATCTACTCCCTGAGCACCAGGTGATTCAAACTATGTGCCTTTGGGTTAGAAGAGCAGCGCCTTACGTGAGGCCACCAGAATGGACCTAAAGGGCTAGAGTTATATTGTTGTTGTTGTTATGTGCCATCGAGTCAGCGACTGATAGTGGCCCTATGTACAACAGCCCTAAACTCTGCTCTGTCCTGTGCCAATCGCACTGTCTCCAATACACCCATCCCAATTACCCCAGTCACTGAATCAATACACCTCATAGAGGGCCTTCCTCTTGTGCACTGTCCCTCCACCCTCCCAAGCATGATGTCCCTCTCCAAGGACTGGGTCCCTCCTTACAACATGTCCAAAGTATGTTAGAAGAAGCCTCAGAATCCTTGCCTCCAAGGAGCCGCCCGGTTTAACCCTCTCTAGGATGAATCTCTTTGTTTTCCTAGCAGTCCATGGTACTCTCAATACTCTTCTCCAGCACCACAGCTCAAAGGTATCAATTCTCCTTCTATCTTCCCTAGTCATTGTCCAACTCTCTGATGCATGACAAGTGATGGTTGACGCCTCTCCACACCCTCTCTCATAGGTTTAAGTTATATAAGAACATATGTAAAGATCCTTGAAATATATTAATATTTTTTTCATTTATGCATAGTTTATAATATATGTCAGTAGTATTGTGCCAAATAACTCATTCTGCTTCTTGCTTTTCCAAGCACATAATGTTTTAAGGGCCTGTCTGTGAGGCTTTTTATAACAGGAGTTCATTCATTCTTTCTAAGTGGCTGCATGACTTCCAACTACTAGGCGACTGAAGCTCCCTTTTATGGGTCTAGGAGAAGGGATATAAAGGAGAAACAAGAACTTCCCTGTTAGTTTTCACTCCCTTCTGTGGCCCATGAAAGTAAGGAAAATTCTTGTTTCACCTCTTATATCCTAACATTTGCTCTTTCTGTCTATCAGACCATATCAATAAAGTAGAATTACATTTTGTTCAACCAAACAACAGATGGCCTTGCAAGTAAGTAATAACACCAAAGAAGAACTCAGAACTCACTTCTTAGAACAAGCAGCCATACAGAATCCAAAGGGCAGCATTTGTTCAGGGCTGAAGTGCAGAAGCAAGGAAAGGAAAGATAAAAGGATAAGTGGAAATGAGAATCACCAGGATGAAGTGGGACAATGTCATTATACTGTGGGGACTGTACGTAATGATACAAAACAAAATGTACATGAATAGTTGAATAGAAAGCCAAATGCTTTGTAAGCTTTCGCTCAAAGCACAATAAAAAAAGTTTAAATAATTATAGTTTGCTTTTCTTTATCTGTATTTCTTTGATAATTGGTGATGATGCCCATTTTTCCATAGACTTAAAAATTGTTCTGATTTTTTTTCAGGGTGAATTAACTGTTGTTGTTGTTGTTGTTATGAGCCATCAAGTTGCCTGCAATTCAAACTCAGTGTGCTACCCTACACACTAGCTCTAAACTCTGCTCTATCCTGAGCCAATCTCACTGTATCTGACACACCTGCCTCTATTACCCCAGTCACTGTGTCAATCCACCTCACCAGGGTCTTCCTCTCCTGCATTGTCCCTACACTCTCCCAAGCATGATATCTTTCTCCAAGGACTTGTCCCTCCTAGCAACATGCCCAAAGTATATGAAATGGAGCTTCAAAATACTTGGTCCAGAGAGCAAGTTGGTTTCACACTCTTCAGAACAGACCTGTCTATTCTCTTGACAGTTCATGGTATGTTAAATACTCTTCTCCAGCACCACAACTCAAAGGCATCAATTCCTTTTTCTGTCATCCTTAGTTATTGTCTAGCTCTCTGATGTATAGCAAGAAATTGAGAAGACCATGTCCTCAATCAAGTCCACCTTAGTCTCTGGACAGACATCTTTGCACTTCATTCTGGAGAGGTCTCTAACAGTAGATTTTCCTAATAAAATTCATCTTTTGATTTCTTGGTTTCTGGTTCTGAGAGTATTGATTGTGGAGCTGAGCAAGCTGAAATTATTGACAATCTCTATCTCTTCTCAATCTATCATAGTGCTGCCAACTGGTTTAGTGCTGGGAATCTTGGTTTTCTTGATGTTGACCTTCAATCCATATTGAAAACTTCAGTCTTTGGCTTTCTGCAGCAGAGGCTTCAGGTCCTCCTCTGTTTCAGCAAGCAGGGTTATGTCATCTGCATAATGCAAGTTGTTGATGAATCTTTGTCTAATTCTGATGCCACATTCCTCTTTTCGAAGACCAGCCTCCCAAATGATCTGTTCCACATATAGATTGAAAAGATAGGGAGACAGGATGCATCCCAGTTGCACTCCTTTCCTGATTTATCTTTTTTTTTTTATGGTCTATTTTCCTGCTGGATACCATATTATTTTTTTAATGAATTAAAGGAGTATATTGTATATTCAAAATAAATTCTTATGTATTCTAGCTATTAACACCTTGTCAGTCTGAGAAGTTGCAAACATCACTCAATCTACTACCATCCTGTTAATTT